GCGATATTTTTATAAAGAGATGATCTGGCTTTGTGTCTTCTGCTCGAATGAATGTTTTTCTTTTAGAATTTTGTTCCTGCACACTAAAAATGAACTGGTTTCACCCGTGGTCTCAGCTTTTTGGAATTTTTCCCGATATAATTTTGTATCTGATAATCAAACATGATACAGCAATATTGTCATCATCATTTTCTGACTAAAAAAAACAACTATTTTTGCCCAGAACCTGTCAATTTTATTTTTTATTTTTTGGCTAAAAATCCGAAAAATATATTTTCCAGATTTTTCTCTATGTCCTGTCAAAACACGTTTTACATGTACATTAGGTCAGCTGATATTACCTCCCATCTTCACCGCTAGAGGCGCTGCTTGCGAGCGAAAAGGCAAATTTGCAACGCAATTAGCAAATAACTCGAAGCATATTCGAGATAGAGACCTGAAATTTTCACTATAAGTTTTTCCAGATTCTACTCTATATACTGTTAAAATTTCAGTCAGATTAGTTACGTATTGTGGACGTGTATAGCCGACATAGAAACAAACACACACATACATACATACATACATACATACATACACTGACTTTTATGTATATAGGGATTCCCCGAACAAAAAAATAGTAAATTAATATTTTGTTTAATTTCACCATCAATGTAGTGTACCACCTCTACTATGGAGATTTGCTATCATGGTATGTCACATTTAGGTAAGATAGAGAACCACATACAGGATATATAACTACCTTTTAGATAACTTCTCTATTTTCTACTGACCTGTCTTGCAATGATAAAAATAATGGGAGGGCCTCGCTCATCAGTGGTGAACCCTCCCAGCAGTTTCGCCAGTTTGATCAAGATTTGCACAACCTTCAATGATCATATGAGCGATCAGGATATGCCTTTTTTGTTTTAATATATTTATATATTCATGGAAATGGAAATAGAGTAAATCCTGTTTCAGATAAAATTTCAATAGTTTTAACAGTAAATTCTAAATCATTTGCACAAAAGGTTTATGTATATAAGTAAAAATGCAATTCTTTGATCTGATACTCTTCAATGGATTTTTATTAAATTATTCTATATACAGTTACGAGCGTCATGCGTGGCCTCTGTCACGGTTTGCTTTTTTTTTTTGGAATGGCGCCCTCCTATTGGTCGGCTACGATCACGCCACCTTTGCCCCCCCCCCCCCCCCACTCGCTTTTTCGTTTTTGTAACCATTGTGTTGGAGCGGGTCGCTCCTTAAATAAATGCATATATTAGTTAATAACCAAATGGAATCCTCTCTTTCTTTTTCCCAGTAAGAGACGCCTACGGAAGCCAACAGTACATAGACAGATAAAGCACATAGGCTATAGTTATTAACTAAAATATGCATTTATTTAAGGCGCCAATTTATAATTGCAACAAATAGTATTTGAATCAAAACATTCAATCGGGTAAAACACGGGCGTTGCCCGGGTCATTCGGCTGGTAAGAGTATAAACTCGATTGTGTTTATAGACTATCTGTTACAAAAGTAAATATACAGTCAAGTTTATATTGATTGCCTTTCCTTTTCTACTTGTGAATAAATAAAGTTTTTCATTAAAACTTTGAACTATTTTTGGCGCGTATGCTTATTTTAAAAATAAATCAATTTTTCTACTGCCCTTACTGCAATGATAAAATAATGGAGGGCCTAGCTCATCAGTGGTGAACCCTCCCAGCGGTTTCGCCAGTTTAATCTACCATACCGCTGTTATATTGCATTTTTCGGTTTTCCTTTTATACTGATACTGATGCTAGACTCTCGAAAAAGGTATTTTAAGCGAACTATGGACATAAGCGTTGAGGACAGTAAAAATGCAATTTTAAATATATAATTTTTCTAAATGATTTAGAATATGTCATTAAATAGCCACCATCTTTCTCTCTCCAGCACAGGTTGGCTCATTACAGTGTCAGGTTAGAGGCGAGGGGACCTCACAAGGTGGTTGTGGTCACAAAATAACACCATTCAATCATTGCATGTTTCCTTTCGGGATGAAAATTATAAACCCAAGTCTCATAACCTATAGCTATTCTCTCTAAGCAAGCTTTTTCTTTTATTTTATGTATTTCTAATGTTTTTAGGAAGATTTTTTATCTATAGTCAGATAGTCTGAACCCACTTTAGAAAAAAAACTCGAGTAAACCCTGAAACTAAAATTAACAGCACCTATATGCAGATTTTTTACAAACTTTAAAAATACTAAATTATTGAACTGTGGAATGGTAATTATCTCTGCCCCTCAAATGGACAAACCTCGCTCACCTCTATCTCTCTTTCTCTGGTCTTGAGTTGGGCAATGCCAGCCACCACATCGTCCTGCCGACTCTGTGGGAAAGAACTCTGGCGGTCTATCGGTAGCGGAATCTTTCCCACACACACACACACACATCAATGAAGACTTTGTATTTATTCTATTTACACTCATGTGAACAAAGTTTAAGGAAGTTGTACCTTTTACCATGTATAGAAGGATTCAGACAATAACTCTGAAAGAAATTTAATACACAGTGACCTTTATTGAAGACACACGAGATAACCAAATGTGAACTAAAAATTGCCTCTGTCTCCTTTAAAAAAAAAAAATAATAATAAGATCAACATGAAACGTTTACTTAAGTTTTTGTCCATGAGCGTACATGTGTATTTATATTTGTATTATATGCTCACAGTAGCGCAATTTAAACCCATCCTTGGTTCTCGCAACATTGTGTGCACATTCAATGCAGACCTCAATGCAACAAAGGTTATACTGCATATATACCCTGACATTGAATATTACAAAATATTTATTTGTTTATTGAGCTATTATAGATATCCATCGGCAATGAAGTTTTGAATATACATTAAGGTATTTAGATATTCCTTTATTTTTCATCATGGATTTTTTTTAAGTAGCAGATAAAATCGGTTTCTCTCTTTTAAACCCTTCGCGGTGGGCCTCGAGGACCATGCCATCACCATCTCCTCAGCAGCGAAGCATGCGATATACGTTTTTTTCGAAGATCGCGAAATGCGTGGTATCGCTGGAGACCCATTGGCGATCTTACATCAAGGTCTGCAGCGGTGGCAGAGGCGCCATGTACATATTCATTGTACATTGCATATATTTTTTAAAATTTTTATTTTAAAAATCATCATCATTGTAATTTTTTCATCTCTACTTAAATAGTGTTTACTGTGCACTTTTGCCTATATTTTGACGGGATGTCAATAACACTATGTTATTTGTCACGTCTCTCTTAAACCCCTATAGAAAAACCTAATCCTGCATATCTCCTATCAATGTTTGGAATTTTATGAAGTTTCAATTATAGTTGGGATTTATATAATAAATTACATAGTACAATTTCTCATAATATGCCGCCTAAATATAATCACGGTCTGTTCTGGAGGTGGTACTGTCATCGGATGCTGGGATATGTCAGGTCCAGTTATTTTTTTAAGTTTTTGATGGTATTTTCTATAAGTGGTGGTCTCTAAACAAAGGAGGGGTTTACTTTAGGAAGGCCTTGTCCCGTAGTGTTTATAGGACCAATATTTTTATATTATTTTTATATTACACTAAAATATTTTAAATTGATTATCATATGCCATAATGAAGGAGCAATAAAATGATTTTAAAGTGTCGTTAATTTAAATAAAACAAAAGATTCATGGTGAGCTCGGTTCAGACGCCAAGTATGCAGCTTTGTAGAAATCCTATGGTAAAATTAAAATATAATTTGAGAGAGTTTCTAAATGGCTTGCTACCTATGTCAGAAAAACTGTCTTTCTTTGGTGTTGAAATTCACTTTCTATTTGATTGAGACCAACTACTATTTGATAGTATTCCAAATCCACAGACGTGAGATTATATATTATCAGAATATCAAATATAAAAACGTTGAAGAATCATTATCGATTTTATATCTTCAAACTTAACCATATTCATTAAGCATTCGGAAATACTCGAAGTGTAGTATGCATATAATTTCGTGACATTCTTAAATTAATTTTCAAATTCTTCCATAACGTGGAGATAAGCAAAGAGCATTTTTATATATAATATTTCTCTTTGTAATCAAATATTTTCTTCTAGAGATTTTTTATATCAAAGAATTTTCTACGAGGCTTTAGGAATCTTTATAGTTTATTAAGATTAGTATATATTCATACATATTAGATAATAAAAGGCATATATTGGATTTAAAAATATATTTATTTTGCCAATATTTCGGCTGGCTGAACGCCAACCTTTATCGAGGCATTACATTTTTGTATACTTAGATATCTGTCTAAAAATGACCGAATTTATTATTTCATTCAAAAGGAAAAATCTAAATCAAGTTGCTAAGCTATATATAGATCACATTATTAAGAAACCTAAACCAAAATGCGTGGATGTTTCAAGTTCTGCAAGCTTTTCCGTCGGAACAAAAGGTATTCAATCAAACTGATATCAGATCATTTGTCTCATGCTAAATGTTGAAAATAGAAGATCAATTTGACTACCAAATATTTATACAATGGTCGAATTTAATAGGGAAGTTATATTGTGATATGTTACACTAATATAATAATTTAATTTTCAATATAATTGACTAAAGTTTAGGAAATGTTTTATAGAGAATTAAAATATTTTTATTCATAATGTTTTTTTTTTAAATCTTATTCATACAAAATAGCTTGGTCTTCTAATGTTTTCTTGTTATCCAGGTAGTGTGTCCTGTGCTCCAAGAATCCAGATTGTATATATTTATATAGCTTTGTAAATAATCAATTACTAGTTGTTAGCTATATATATATCTTGATGTGGTTAATAAATAATTTATTCTCTAAAACTGTGCAAACTTTTTTTAAACTAAATTTATTTTTAAAGATTATAATTTTTGCAAGTTTATTCAGTTTAATCAGAAGGAAAATGTACTGTTAAATTAAAATATTATTTATAATTTTTATATGTTGAAAATGTGTGTTATTGCAACTTGTTGGATAACTGAATGCTACGACAGCTAGCGCCACACTGGACCTATCATCATCACAACTGTTTGTTCACCTTCTTCTCTATACTTCAATAACTGTTCGCTACCATAACTTTGTCTTTTCTTGCTAAATGGATAATAAAGATTATTATCATATAATCCTCAACGTCCTCATGCCTTCCTACAAGCTGTAAGTACCTAAATCTTACAACAATTAGATTATGAGACTGAATATTGCATGAAATTCAACTAACGAGTTAAGACAAAGAAAAAAGGCTTAGCAAAAATGGCGTCACTCCCGAGCCACGATGTAACCCTAGATAAGCTCGACGGCTATAACTACTCACTATGGTCTTTCAAAATTGAAATGCTCTTGCAAAAGGAAGATCTTTGGGAAGTTGTCACCGAAAATATTCCAGATGAACCTAAAGTCGAATGGAAAAAGAAAGACTCAAAAGTTAGAGCTATCATTAATCTAAGCATCGCCGACTCACAAATAGTGCATGTCAAAACCTACTAACAGCCAAAGCTACCTGGGACACTCTTAAAAATATCTATGAAAGAAAAACACTCTCAGGAAAAATTTATTTGCTAAGGAAGCTATACAGCTTAAAACTCGAAGAAGACAAAGACATGCAACAGCATATCACTACCATGATGGAACTTGTTGACAAACTGCGAACCATTGGCGAAACACTAAGGGACTCTCACATCACGGCTATACTGCTTTGCTCGCTTCCAAAGAGCTACTCAAATCTCATCACGATGTTGGAATCAAGGCCTGATGACGAGCTAACGCTTGAATTTACCAAGAACAAACTCCTTGATGAACACACACGCAGAGTAGAAAGCTCGAAAGACGAAAGCACCGCATCAAAAGCCTTAAAAAGCCTCCACGAAGCTTCAAGCCAAAGAAGAGAAAAAGAGAAGAAATTCTGTTCTTTCTGCCACAAACCAAACCACTCCAAAGAAGAATGTTGGCACTATCAAAAGCGAAACAACAGCAACAAAGAGTACAAATATGAAAACTTCAGAAGAGGAAACGTACCAAAGTACACAAATCAGTCGAGTGTCACCCAAGAACAACCCACAAACAAGAGAACAACAAAAGGATCTAACCCAAAAGCTCTCAATTGCACTCAACGAGAAGCAAGTGTACACAACTGGTTCGTCGACTCTGGAGCCACATCTCATATGGCGCACGATGAAAGCTTCTTCACTGAACTTAACAGAGAACAAACACAAAATGTTGTGGTTGCTAATGGCAATAAGCTGCAGGTCAAAGGGATAGGACAAGGAGAAATCAAAGTCATCACACCCCAAGGAAAGACTGACACCTTACTTCTCACAAAAGTTCTCTACATCCCGGAACTAACAGACAACCTTCTGTCAGTGAGTGCGGCCACCTCCAACGGATGTAAAGTGACGTTCAACAGAGATTGGTGCACCATTGAAAGAGACAACACAGCCCTCGCGAACGGTATACTTGACAATGGAATGTACCGACTCCGCCTGGATGACAACCTCCAAACTCGCACATTCAAAGCAAATGTAGCAAAACAAAACCACTGCAAGAACAAAAATTGCCTCATGCTCTGGCACGACAGACTAGGACACAGAAATATAGAATCAATTAAGAAGATTCGAAATGAGAACCTAGCAAGACGACTAAGTCTAAATAACTGTTCGCACAGCACAGACTGCGTTCAGTGCATTCAAGGAAAACTCATCGAAACCCCATTTCCAAAGAAGACAGAGTACAGAGCAACTGAAACGCTTCAACTTGTCCACAGTGATATCTGCGGTCCATTACCAACTAACTCTCTCAGCGGTAAGAGATACTTCATCACCTTCACTGATGACTACAGCAGATACACAAAGGTCTACCTCCTGAAAGGAAAAGACGAAGTCTATGAAAAAATAAAAGACTACGTCATCTCAGTACACACGGAATTTGGAAAAAATATCCAAACCATACGGACAGACAACGGTCGTGAGTACGTAAACCGACAAGTCGAAGATTTCCTGAACCAAAGCGGAATCAAACATCAGCTAACAGTCCCCTACTCACCAGCCCAGAACGGAGTAGCCGAAAGGAAAAATCGATCACTAATGGAGATGACAAGATGCATGCTGTTTGACTCAGGACTCCCACAGTCTCTATGGGCGGAAGCGGTTACCACAGCTAATTACCTACACAACCGAATACCCTCGAAAGCTACAGACAAGACTCCATTTGAACTATGGACCAACAGGAAGCCCAGTCTGAAGCATCTAAAAAGATTCGGATGTAAAGCCTTCGCCTATATTCCCAAGATAAAAAGAAACAAGTTGGATAGCAAAGTCATCGAAGGGATCTTTCTTGGATACGATGATCGAAGCAAAGGATAAAGATTCCTGCACGATACAGACAACATCACAATCAGCAGATCCGTAAAATTTATAGAAAAGGAAAATGGGTTTCACCTCGCTTCCACAAAAACAACTTCACCACAAGTACTAAGTACAGATCTAACTTTCTCCAATCATATCGGAAATGCAGAGGAAAGTCAGGAACCAGGAACACAACCCGAAAACCTTGAGGACTCAGAAACCGAGGATTACCTTCAACCCGGTACAAGCACAGGAACACAAGTGGTCACACAAAGAAGATCCACGAGACCAACAAAGGGAATACCTCCCATAAGAAATGACTACATGCTGTACAAAACTGAAGCTCAAGACATTCAGACACCCATTGTGAAGCATTCTACAATTAGAGCTTTCCTAGCTGCATCAGTCTACAAAGGGATGCAAGTGATCCACCTCGATGTCAAGACAGCGTTCCTACACGGCGACCTAGATAAAGAACTCTACATGGAACTCCCAGAAGGGCTCCATACAAAACAAACAAACAAAGTCTGCAAACTAAAGAAGGCAATTTACGGTTTAAAACAAGCCGGAAGATCTTGGAACACAAAAATTGCAAGCACTCTAATTAAAAATAACTTCAAACAGAGCATTGTAGACCCATGCCTATTCACCAAGAATGAAGAAAACCATTCCATCTACTTGATTCTATATGTGGATGACATGCTCCTTGCAAGCGATTCCGAAATAATCATCCAAAACACTGTAAAAACTCTCGAAAAAGAATTCGAAATAAAGAATCTTGGAAACCCCACTCAATTCTTTGGTATAGAAATCTCAAGGAACAGAGAAGGTGAACTCCTTCTGAGCCAAAAGAATAAAATCCAAGAATTAGTTGAAAGGTACAATCTCCAAGAAGCGAAACCTACTTTCACTCCCATGGAAAGCGGATACCCCGGTATATCTGATGAAAAACTTCTACCAAACAACGTCCAATACCAACAACTGATTGGCTCACTATTGTACCTAAGCGTAGTATCCAGACCAGATATCGCAGCTCCAGTCTGCATACTCAGCAGCAGAAACCAGAATCCTAGAAATTGTGACTGGAATGCAGCAAAAAGAATCGTAAGATATCTAAAAACTACTAAAGAACTCGAGCTACGCATATCTAACCAAAAACCTCCCACACTGGAAGCATACAGTGATGCCACATGGGCAAGCGACAACACCGACAGAAAATCACTAAGCGGAAACTTGTTCCTACTGGGATCAAACCCCATCTCATGGATGACTGAGAAACAAGGTTGCGTATCTCTCTCATCCACCGAAGCGGAACTAATCTCCGCAGCTGAAGCCTCACAAGAACTGTTATGGCTTCTCGACTTGCTAAAGGATCTCGAACTGGAACAGAAAGCTCCAATCTACTTCCACCAAGACAATCAATCATGTCTCAAGATATGTTCATCCGAAAAAGTGTCTTCTAGAACCAAGCACATCGCAACCAAGATCCATCACCTGAAGGATCTTCAGAAGAAGACAGTGATAAAAATGATCTACTGCCCAACTGGCGACATGAAGGCGGACATTCTGACCAAGCCGCTACCAAGGCCGACATTTGAGAAGTTACGCTACAACCTCGTGATGTCTCCACATTCATGCCGGGGATTTGTTGGATAACTGAATGCTACGACAGCTAGCGCCACACTGGACCTATCATCATCACAACTGTTTGTTTACCTTCTTCTCTATACTTCAATAACTGTTCGCTACCATAACTTTGTCTTTTCTTGCTAAATGGATAATAAAGATTATTATCATATAATCCTCAACGTCCTCATGCCTTCCTACAAGCTGTAAGTACCTAAATCTTACAACACAACTTTATCTTTCAGTAAAATATTTTATTGAAAATTCTAAAAAAAATGATAAAATTTTCACAATAGTATCGTTTTATAATATTTATTTTTTTAAATTATCGTCCCTACAACTGCAAATTATCGAATCTGAAAATCGGTACTTTACTTGGATAACTGTGGTAATCTCCCTCTCTCTGGTTTTACAAGATAACAACGTGAGACCAATATATAAAATGTACAATTTTTATATATTGGTCTCACGTTGTTATCTTGTAAAACCAGAGAGAGGGAGATTACCACAGTTATCCAAGTAAAGTACCGATTTTCAGATTCGATAATTTGCAGTTGTAGGGACGATATGTCAAACGATAATTTCCTTAAAATATTATTTTAATGAATGAATATTTGGGTATTATTTTTGAAGACTGTTTTTCCAAAAAACCCTACATTAATATAATTAAAAATTCTGATTCTTTTCTTGGGTTGTTGAATTAAAGAAATATATATGCACAAATATCTAAATTGCCCTTCTTTTAAAATAAGAAATGAATTATTTTTTTTTATTTTTAAAAGGTTTTTAATTAAATAAAATGTATATATATTTAGAACCTATATGCATATATTAGATAATATTCAAAATATTTTTAATAAATATGTGAAACGAAAAATTTCAAGAAAAAAGAATATATTTAATATCTTTTCAAGGAAAATGTTTAAAATATCAGTTAAATTTTGCCCATAAAATTAAAGTCACTCTCCACCTTAGTTAATTTTTTTAAAATATGTACTTTTAAATAGTAAAAATATGTGTCATTTTAGAGAGAGAAAAATATTTGCCCATAAAATTTTAAAATATAAATAAATTAAGGAATTATAAATATTTTATAAGACTTTTTGAAAATAATCAATAAAAATGATCTTGTAAAAAAGAATTCTATTTTTAAATATTACCTACATTTCAAGGGCAGAAATGCATATCTAGGTAAATATTATATTAATATATATTTTAAAGCTTGTATTTTTTCTTTTTAGACAATCATCTAAATGGCATTGATTTCAGGCTGTTTGATTTAAAGGGCGAGAAATAAAATTGCATTTATAATTCTCGAAAAATGACATCTGCGCGCCTGCGCTTTAATTTTGAAAAGAAGGTATTTTTAGAATAATATATTGGTATAAATATTTTAGTAAGTGAACGAGTTTTTTCAAGATTTTTTAAAATTAGTTTACTTTAATTATTAATGTTTCAATTTTAATAAGGTTTCCTTTTCTTTATATTTCCAAAATTGGACATTTATATAATTTTTTTTTTCAATGTTTTATATTCCAAATGTCGTATTATCTCCTGAGCCCATTTAAAAAAATAATATGTACCGTATTTATTCTTAAGAATTATTGAGTTTCTTTTTATAAAGGATTATAAAGAATTTATTAAGTTATATTTTATATTAGATTTATATGTACCAAAAATATATTTGTGCCAAAATTCCTCGCCCTTTAAATATGAAATGGGAAATGTGTCACTTTTGGAACAATGAATGGAATCCTTTCCCACAACTCTTTTAATATATATGTGATTTCTATATTTATCTATCTATAAAATACGATATCGGTGATGCACAGAATCAACTATGGAACGGTTGGGAGTTAAGGCTTGACTTTGAAGCGATTATTTATGACCTCAAAGGAGGAAGAAATCCTAAATGTAAAGTTTTTCTATTTCGCGAATCTCCTTGGAGTTAGAAGCCCAAAACTGTCATAAACAATCATTTATAGAGATACATCAGAGTTGCAATGTACTTCATGCAGCTTCCCTAATTCAGCCGTTTTCAAAGCCACCCTATTTATAACAGGAGTATTTTGTAATTCTGCCAACTGGACACAGAGCGTCGTCGTAATGTTCATGGAGTCAATGTTTAACGGTTACGATTTAATATACCTGGGAGTTACAAATTATCAAAGTTCTATATGAATATTAATTTGTTATCAATATAAGTGATTAATTTATTTTTAAACATAAATATTTTATGTTATTTGTTGTGTAAACATTTGTATACATATTACATAGCCTTTTACTTCAAATAAAGCCATAATTTTGGACATTTAATTGGATATTTTCTAATTTGTAGATTGTATGGGAGATATATTTTCTTCACAAATGATATGCTAAATATTAAATTGCAATTAAATTACTGAAATACACTCATGGACAAAACTTAACGAATTGGAAAATATTTGATGTCGCCGGTCGTCTGTTTTTTGTTTTGTTGTTTTGTTTTTTAAGGTAACAGAGGTAATTTTGTTCACACTTAGTTATCTCGTATGTCTTCAATAAAGGTCACTGTAATATCTTCCAGAGTTATTGTCTGAATCCCGATATACATGGTAAAAGGTACAACTTCCTTAAGTTTTGTTCATGAGTGTATATATAGATAGAGGACATTGAACAACCAAGCTATGGAACATGTATGATGATTTTGAAATGAAGGTATATTTTTATGTATATTTTTATATTTATACATATAATTATAATTAATTAATTAAAAATAAATTAATGAATAATTCCAATGCCCCAATATAATATGGTGACTTTTTTTATTGGCATTTAAGTTGTCGTTCCCAGCTGATTTCTACTTTAATTTCGCAACCCTTAGCTTGACGAGTTTTTGAAGAGTTTAGAGCAGAACAGTGTGTTAAGTCAATGAAACCTACTATTCTAACAACTAAATGATGCTGATGACCCACTGCCATCTATCGGAACATTTTTTTTTGCTTATCCCTAGTACATGTGGTACAGGCCATGGTAATCATGGTGGATAGTTAGCGACTGCTTTTACTGTAAGTGCACCACATGTCTACACATGTGAAAAGCAGTTCGACTTTGCACTTACAAATGTGCCAGAGCCCCGTTTGGTTACTTGCACTCACTGGTGGGGTTGGACTTTTGCAAGAATCGGGGGCCATTGGAGCAATTTTTTTTTTAAACAGAAAAAAGTGTCCAATGCGGGAATCGAACCCGGGTCCTAGTGGTCGAAAACCAAACGGTTTAACGAGCCTTCCACCGGAACATTTAATAACATTGACTAAAATTATATATTTCCTAATTTAAATAACTATAAATACGCATTTAATAATTTGTATTTTTTATTATTATTTATATTTACAGTTTTGACAGGCTAATGTTCCTGTAAAATAAACAGTGTATGTAAATATGTGTATATTTCTCTGTCGCATGTGGTGCTCTAGTATGATATAAAATACGGGAGGAAGGTAATCATGGAAGTGTGAACCACACTCATATTTAAAAATGCATTGATCTTTATTTCAACACACAAAACGCGATATCCCGGCTAGGGATAATTGCATCGATTTACATTTAAAAAAAAAAAAACAGAAACAGTTATAAACACATTATACAAGAAAAGGAATTTAAAAAAAAAAGAGAAACAATAATATATATTAGGAACCTGAACCTTTCAGGTTTGAAAGATAATCATAAGTATATCTACAAAGATAGTTAAACCTATGATAATTCTCTCTGCTATTTACAAATTGATATAGATCTACAACATTATTTATTGTCTGTTGTCTAGCGCTAGAAAAGAGTGGCCATTCCAGCAGTAGGTGTCTCGAGTCCTGGATTTCGTTGCCACAATGACAGCTAGTCTTCAACCGCTCCAATTTTTGATAAAAATCCCTTAAAATTTCCATGGTTCGTTGTAAACTGGGCATTATAAAAATTTGAACGGAAAAATGTTGGAATTCCAAACGGGAAAAAGCTTTGGAATGTTTCATTTGCTTTTAGAAATAATTCATCCATTTTTGCACTTAAAAATGAACCAATTATACTCGGAGAATGTGGTCTAAAAGCATTTTGATCCTCTATCGAAAGATGAGCCAAATCATATTTAATTATTTTAGATTCAATATAATCTGTGAGAAGGGGGATGTTCGCAAGACTATGGACACAGTTGGAAGATGTAGTTTTGTAGGCTCTGCTCACCCACAGAAGAATTTGATATTGAGTAGAATTTAGTTTTTCTTTGCATCGCTTATTTATAAATTTATACCATATTTCTGAACCATACGTAAGAGCTGGACTGATAAGTGTTTTATACAAAATTATTATTTTTTTTTTAGTATTTATTCCCCACATCTTTCCACAAAGTGAAAACAGAAAATTTTCATTCTTACGATCCTACACAGAATGTCGTTGATATGTGGGGTAAAATTTATCTTTTTTTTTAATTCTATGATTTGAGAATTTTATGCCTTATATCTTAACTTGATCTACTGGGTTTAAAATAATATTCGATATTTCAATTGGAACTTTAGGTTTATTATGTAAGTAAGGTAAATTCGTTTTCTCTGGGCTTATTGATAATTTATTCCTATTACACCATTGAATCACGTAGTATAGAATATATTCACTTAATATTTTGAGATCCTCGACAGACTTGCTCCAGCAAATGATGGAAACGTCGTCTGCGTAGCAAATTATTTCTGCGTTCGGATGTTTGAAACTCTTCAGCAAGTCGTTTAACAAAATATTCCATAATATTGGGGATAAAGGACTGCCTTGAGGGCATCCTTTTGTCAGATTTTTTGTAACATTTGTATCTTCATATGAGAAATTTGCCCTTCTTTCCCTGTTTAAAAAGATTGTATAATTCTTATTAATTTGGAGGGAATGTTATCCAAATCGAGTCTTCTAATAATTGCTGGCCACCATGCGTTGTCGAATGCGCCTGCTATATCCACTGTAATCAAAGACGTCAGTTCTCCTTGCCTGTGTTTCAGTATGGTTTCCATTATATCTTCCATTGCACTGCTCGTTGATTTATGTTTAATAAATCCGTGTTGCCTTGGACTCATTAGATTGTTCTCTTCATAATATTTATTAATTTTGTTTTTAATTATGTTTTCAAAAATTTTAGAAATTTTTGACGTCAATGATATTGGTCTATAGCTTTTGCTTGTTTCATAGTTTATTTTATCAGGTTTTGGAATGATTTTTACAGTAGTGTCTTTCCATACATCCGGATAATAACCTATTTCAATACATTTGTTGAATACTTGTTTTAAAATCGGGATTAAAAGTGTACCTGCATGTTTGATCATATTATTACTGATTAAATCTGGACCTGGTGCTTTCTTAATATTTAATTTTGAAATAATATTTTCAACATCTTTTATTTCTATAAAAATGTTATTTTGGTTGTTATATTCAGGTTTATAGTTTCTAATAATAACATGTTCCTCTTTATCTGAATGTACATCATCATCTGGAAATAAATAATTCAAGAGACTTTTCATTTTTTCTTTCTTTAAAGTATCCGGTATATTATCGATCATAGGAAGCCCTATATTGTTGTTGGATGGTCTCAGAGATTCAAAAATTTTATAGGCGTTTCCAAATGGGTTGTTTGATACATTTTCTTCAATGAATATTCTCTAACTTTTTTCTTAGCTCTTTCGATAGCGTTAATGTACTTGTTTCTGGCAAATTTAAAAGTTATTTTATTGACTCTATGCCGATAGTATAAGTTTCTAATATAATGAAAATCATTTTTCATTTTTTCAAGATTCCCATTCCACCACTTAATATTAGATATATGCTTGAAAGAGTTTGATTTGATTTCCAGAGACGAATAAGCTGCCTCACTAATTATGTCCGTAAGTTTGATCACAATCCTGTCAACATCCGTAGTATTAGATGCCTGATTTATTTCATTCGACAAGTTATGTACATTTTGAAATGATATCTCTTCAGTAAATTTTTCCCAGTTGGCATCTTTTTCAATGAATTTCCATGTTGACCTTTGTCCAATTCTCTGCACTTTAAAATTATATCGAATGTCGAAGGTTATTGCTACATGATCGGAAATACTTGTAAAAGTTGATGTGCTACAATTCTGTATCAGCTTTATAGAATTTTTGTTTGATATTGTTAAATCTATTATACTGGCATTTCGACATGTAGGCGTTTTAAGGTTATGGATAAACAAGTTGTATTCATCCACAATAGAGTGGAATTTATAGCCATTAGAGTTAATTATTCTGTCGTACCATACAGGATGTCGAGAGTTAAAATCACCACAGAGGATTATTGGCTGTAGCTCGAATGTCTCTAAAAGTTCTTTAATAAATATTTGGTGAGTATTACTGAGATTTTTAGGGTGAATGTAGAAGTTTGAAGTAACAATATTTGAATTCTATGAATGTATAGCAATAGTTGTACAAAAAGAATTAGTGAATCTATCAATTGTCGTATATTTAAAGCTTCTGTTAAGAATAATTGTTGCTGTGTAGACTGTTTTATCAGTTTTAGAGTAAACAATTTGTGAGTCATTATTGAATATCACATCATTCCCTAACATATAAGGCTCTTGAATAAATAATAGGTCAGGAGGGTTGGACAGAACAGAGGCTCGAAGTTCATCTAATGCTATAGCACTTTTCCTTATATTTTGTTGAATACATTTTATTCCTTGTTTAGTTGCCTTCATTGGTTTCTTTCTCCCTCCTTCATCCCGTTTCCTCCTTTTTCAGTTGTGATGGAGTATCTATTCATTTAGATTCGATATTTAGAATTATTGTTGCCGAATTTATCCTGTTTCCTTTAGCTGTTAAAATTGAATGCTCGTCTCCGCTAAAAATAATAACATTGTTTACCGTATAAGGCTCCTGAATAAATAATATGTCTGGTGGGTCGTTAGCCATTCGAGCCAGGAGTTCATTTGTTGCGTTTATGCTTTTACTTAGATTATGTTGCACAAACTTAATCGACGGAACTTGCATTTCCTGTTTGACTTGTGCAAGTTAGTTACTTGATTGTTCAGTTGGGAAATAACTTGTTCTTTCGATTATTCTGTCTATTTGTGTTTTATACATAGGGCATTCCTATGAATTTGCTCTGTGTGATGAGGGCCTGTTTCTATACTTAGGATGTTGGGAACAATTGAAACATTTGGGATTAAATTTCAGACATTTCTGACATTGTTTCACCAGAAACTGGTCTACAACAACGCACCGTTCACAGTCAGTGTATATTTTATTGTTTAATTTCTTAATGGTTTGATAAAATTTAGAAGAGACACGTAAAACTAAATTGTGGGTAGAGGTGTTAGATTTAGTGCAGAATAGCACTTTAATTTCACTTTTCATATCCCTTAGTTCGTTGTTCATCTGACAGATTGTTTCTTCGAAGGAATTCACCTCGGTGATTTTACTAACGTTTTTAACCATTATCGTAGGATCTCTTTTGGTCGGAATGAATGTTTTGCATAGATTTGTTAGTTTGGTTGATTTGCATAATTCCTCTTTTAGGAAATTAGATTCTTTCTCGTCCGAAGTTTTTATAATAATTGATTTTCTAGTATTTATTATTTTATTGACTCGGACCCTCTTATTTTCCCCTCTTAACACTCTGATCCTATCAGCAATAGCGTGGTGTACTTCTCTAATATTTCCCTCGTTAAAAGGCTGCGCTATAATTACAAATTCTTTATCACTACTTTGTTTGTTATACATAGTTTCTCTCGCTGTTTGGGATTTCAAAACCACTGAAAAGGAGGGCCTCAAGGTCTTGAGTTCACCCTTGAATTTGTCTAGTTTTTGATCAAGAACATTAGACACTTGAACAGAAAGTTGTTCCACAAAGTCCCGATTATTGATATCTCGCAAGGCCGTAATGCCTTCCTTTGTCTGCTTTACCATTGTAGGCACAAATGAAACATCATTTTTGTTAGGTTTTTCTGGTTTTGTTTGACTTTATTGTCAAAATATTCATAGATTTCATCTAATTTAGCAGTTAGTGTTCCTATGAGTAAATCCATTTTGAAATTTTCACTTATTTCATTATACTTTAGTCAAACCTTATCCTATAAACTTTTCAGGAAAAACTAAAAATAACTTTAACATTATATAAAGGAAAACAAAATACTTTGTAATAAAATGCATTAAAACAGAGAATTTTTCAATCTTCTATGTACAAAAAAGCGCAGACTCGGCGTAGCCAAGCCGTGGCCGTCATCAGTACAGGTGGGCATCGTTAGGCTGACATCCTATGAGAGAAGTTATGGAATCGGCCCAATCTGATAGAAATGTCTGGTGAGGTAGTGTCAGAATACGGGATAAAATGGTAGGTACATACCTCAAGTGGACACCTCTCCCTTTAAAACCATAGATTCAGGGTTTTTTCCGTCAATTTGTCAAAGCTAGTGCTATGGCATATTCACCGACAAGAGTCTGCGCCGTTGAATCCCATAAAATGGACAAACTGCCGCGTCGAAACATTGCGATCCCGGATTTTATGATTTAATGTATTCTAAATGTTCTGACTGCGTTCTATTCTCAACATATATAGTGGTTCAAAGATCTTTCTTTTAATTTGTACTTAATAGTACTGTCATATTCTATTTACAATTGTACTCATCTTTTTTCAACGTAAAATATACAGTTGTTTATAGAGAAAGAATATAATCATTTTCATCTAGATGTTTTCATTAAAATATAATTGAGGACGTGGAAGTGTGTATGGATTCGTAAGTACGTTTAATCACCACCAGCGATAGACACGACATATCCAGCAATATACCCCAATATGGAGGTAGATGTGGAACCTGTGAATTCAGGGGAGAGTGAAAGGATCGCGCCAAACACCGTATAAACTGGCAGATTCAGAGAGAAGCTCCTAGGATTCTGTTAGTCCCTGAGTGTGTCATTCGAAGCCACGTCAATAGGTTGTGTACATCCATCCACATTAGGTTGTGTCCATCCATCCACAATAAGTTTTGTCTATCTAGATCATCCACAATAAGTTGTAGAAAGTCAACAACCTTGAACCAGGAACCATGGAGCGATATTGTCGTAATTGGACCAGTGTATGACCCCTGGTGACTGTGGAAAGGTGGCGTTCACTCTACCTGACGTCTTGAGGGGCCAGTGGTTCACACCATCAATACAATGCCGCACTTCTCACTGGAAATCTCACCAGCCTGAAAGGAAATAAATTCATTTCCTGGCTATCAGCCTTGCCGAAACTTTCTTGCATTTAAATCCTGGGGGAAATTGTCAGACTTTATTTTCAATGAGACCCTGATAGATATACCTACGTTCTACAATTTTCAAATAGTGTTTGTACTTACTTCTGTTTTTTAAAGTGATGAGGACATCCATAACTTTTATTGGGGATGATATGTTCATCAAACACCTTCACAGTCCACGGCGCTGAGGTTCACCAGATGATTCTCCATTTGATTGCCCTGTAAAGATGTCCGCCTCCAACCCTCCGATGGCCTATCCAGAAAACAGATGTTTTAGACTCGTTCATAACAGTCTATCAAGGAATGGTATTTTCTGTTTATATGTCTACATATGGGGATACTGGACATTCAGTTGATCTTGCCTCATAATATTTGTATAAATGGCAGCTCATTTTTTTCATAAATTCCCATTCTTCCAACTCTTGCAACAGGTTTGTCATACACTTGATATGACAGCATCATTCATAACAGCAATAGGCTTTTCCAATCTGAAGTTGCTTCAACGAGCTTCAACGAGTATCCGCCACTACTATCCGCCGTATTTGCTAGTTTGCACAGACGCTCGACAGATAAGCATAGTTTTCTGCGTCTATTTTGACGGAAGAGGTGACCCTCCTTTGTATATATGGGAAATAAATTTTCTAGGTTCCCCCTCATCCAAATTTCAATTTTTATACCATGTTCCTGTTAGGTATATCATCACTTTCTTCATTGCAGTTGAGTGTA